CGTTTCCATGCAATCTCGTACAATGGGGAATACCATATATTTTCCGATCTTCGACAGTGGAGGCAATGGCTTGTTTTATTCCCTTGCATCACGCTAATTTCACTCACGTTTGCATCAGCTAGAAAAGAGTTGTACGATTCGAAACAGATGCTACATTGCGGTTGGGTTACACCGATTCCATAAAAAAAAACCTATTCGGAAGACGAGCTAAGATGACCTCCGAAGCCTAAAAATTTCATTCCTTCGACAGGAAGAGTGATCGTAACGTCGGATCTCAAGGAGTCGAACAAGCAAGTGTTGTTTAACATGTTCGATAGTAATCGCAACGTTGCAGGGATGCCCGAAGTTTGCGAAATGAGAACGGAAGCATGTGCTTTCGGTTGGTTATTCCGAGTAGGCCGGGACTGTTGGGATTTTTTGTTGCTTAATCCTCAAACCATGGAGCAGATTCACTTACCTCGACTGCCCGAAACATTTGATGAATGTGCAATTTCATCAGCTCCTAAAGATTCTGAATTGTGTCGTCTCTCTTTACCAATATTATTCTGAACAAGATTTTAAGTTTATTTACTGTAGGCCAGGTGAGTGTGCATGGACGATAGTGAGAATCAGAGAATCGAAAATGGTGAATTCTAAGCCGGACGATCTAAAAGAAGTATGGAGCCTAGTTAAAGGTAGAATCAATAATCTAACTGGCTACAAAGGAAAGATTAACGGGCAACTATTACAGGAAAATTTGGTGGAAATTAATTTTAGTCCAAATTTTAACGTAAAGATTGTCAAAAGAGAGGCAGGGGACAACGTTTGCTTACCATCCTCCACCTCCTCCATCGGAGTAAACCAGAATACGATTTACATGGTTGAATCATGCGTGAACTTTTTGCGATTCGAGTGAATTTTCGAGGCCGCACCATGAAAATGTGGCCAAGCAAGATCACAGAAGTTGAAGTTCTCAAGTTGGATTTTACGAGAAAGATATGAGAGAGGGTGGGGAGGCTATCGGAGAATGTTGCCTTCTTTAGTTACAGGGACGGAGTTTGTGTTTCATGCTCATCTATGGAAGGATCTAAAAGGAAAGGGAACTGCATTTACTTGGTGGGTTGTTTTCCAAGAGGTGGAAACATGTACGCATTTCACCTTGAAGATGGGAGTGTTTCGGTTTCTATACCGTTTGAATAAGTAAACATGCAATTGAATAAGTAAACTGCGTTTAGGAATAAGTAAACTGCATTTAGGAATAAGTAAGATTTTTAATTTGATTATATTATTATTTTTTATTTAAAAAAATTAGTTATTTTATTTACTTAAAATTCTCATGTTATAAATACACTATAGTTCAACAGTTGAAAAACAAATTGAAATTTGTTTTTCCTTGATTATTTATTGAAGTTTTGCGTTTTTTTTCTCTCATTATTTTCTTTTCACAATGTTAAGCATGATCCAATCCATGTTTAGCTAAACTCTACTTAGCCTAAAACTTTGCGAAGCTCAATTGTAAATCGTGAGAATTGAATGTTGTTCTTCATAACTTGGATAACATTCTTCGGTTCTCTGAAAAATAAAAGTGACAATCGATTATTCTTTTAAAGTTCTTACATCATTAATCCTGAAAGACGTCATTAGCTTGAAGGTTGTTTTGGCTTATAGTTAAGAAGACATATTGATTGGTCACAATTCAACTTCCTGTGAACAAATTTAAAGACTGTTAGTTAAGATGAGGGTGCATGGATGATAGCGAGAGTCAGAAAAATCGAAAATGATGAAATCTAAGTAGAACGATCTAAAAGAACTGTGGAGCCTAGTTAAAGGTAGAATCACGAATATAAATCCTACGACTCTAATCCCATATAAGTCTAAACCATACAATAATAACCCCTAAACTGCTCTATATCAACCACAACTTCAATCATATATACCCTCGTACCTTAATCCTTGTTGAATAGAACTTTAATTAATATCCCCAATCGATTGAGTCACGTTATTCTCACATTTTTTTATTTTTCTTGTTGAGACGTTATTCTTTTAACAATAACGATAATGGGATAAAGTATCGAACAAAATATTAATATAAAATTTAAACTTGAAAAAAATAATACAAGGGCGAATATTTAGCTTTTAAGTACATGATAAAAATTCACAAACCGAATTATCTTAGAGGTTAAAGGAATGATCAATGTTTTTAGAGGTCTCGGGCAGTGGTGAAACTTGGTGATCGGAGACAACTTAAAACTTAAAAAAATTTAGAGGTTTAAATTAAAATTTTCAAAAAATTTGAAGGGTTCAATTTATATTTTCTTCAAAAAAGTTGTGTCTAATAAATTTTTTTAAAATTTGAGAGACTTAATGAGATTTTTTCCAAATTATGATAGGGGTTTAATTAAGAACATTCAAAAATTTTAAAGCTTAGTCTAAAGCTTTTAAAATTTTGTGGTGGTTAAATTATTTTTTTAAAATTTTAAGGGTCTAAATTCTAATTTTTCAAATTTTGGTGGGACCATGGCCCCACAGGTCCCATATACTTTCCGCCTTTGGTTCCGGATTCAAACACCAGCAACTTTAACATGGGTGATTGAACGATCATTGTCAAATGATTAAGAGTATTTAAAATATATACTACTCTATAATCATCTTAAACATAATAAAAAGGGTAAAATTACATGTTTACTCACTGAATTTTACTCTCTCTCGTATTTCACTCACAATACTTTCAATTTTTTTTCAATTTGCTTAATGAACTTTAGACATTGAACTTTTTTGATCACTCATTCGATGACATGGATTGTTTTATTATTTTTTCATATGACATGTCATATTTTATTAATATTTTTAATACCAAGCATGATTAAAATAAAAATAAATTTAAAAATTACACTTATACCCTTAAATTTTACCCTAATTCTCAAATTATATCCCAAACAATAATCCCCAAATTATAACCCATCCACCATCACCCTTGACAAGTTCGCCCTTCCACCGGCGATCACCCTCCCACCGACAAGCTCACCTCTGCCCCTCACTCTCTTTTTCATCTCTCACAACCATCAACCAACCCAATCAGCACAATCATGGAATTAACCCTTTGTTGATTAGTTCAAAACCAAACCCAAGCACAACAAAAGTTCCAACTATGAAATCAATGATTCATCACCAAAGGGGAAAAGAAATTGCCTGGACTTAATCAATGATTCAACACTAAAAAAAAGGCCACCAAAGACCACCGCAGCCACCGACTTTGCTAACCCCACCCACCATTGAAACTTGAATATGGGGTTTTTAGGTTTTTGGTGTATATTTTAGTATTTTTAAATTTAATTTTTATTAAAATATTAATAAAAACATGACATGTCATATGGGAAAATAATAAAATAATTCATTTCATCGAATGAGTGATTAAAAAGTTCAATGTCTACAGTTCAGTGAGTAAATTGAAAAAATTGAAAGTACAATAAATAAAATAGGAGAGAGAGTAAAGTTCAATGAGTAAGTATGTAATTTACCCTAAAAGATTACATTACAAAAATGATGTCATTTCATAACTGAAATCAAGGCTAAATTACACTTTTACTATCTCAACTATCATTTTTTCCATTTTAATTATTTAATTATTTTTTAAATCATACTTAACGTTTATTTTTTATTTCATTTTGATCACTTGTCGATGTTGATATGTCACAATAAGGTAATGTCATATAATCATTGAAAAAAATAAAAATTACCACATCAGCAGTTATGTTAATTTTTTATCAGTTGGTGACCAAAATAAAACCAATTTTTAATGTTAGGTATGATTTTGGGAAAAAATGGTTGGTTGACCAAAATGGAACAAAAGTGATAGTTAGAGTACTAAATGTATAGTTTGCCATAAAATAAAATAAATATTAATGATAAAAATTAAAAGATGCCCGAACTATGCATTCGAAAAACGTTTTAGTGCCTAAAGATTTTTTCACTAAAAATAGGTTTCTAATGTTTCAAACGGTATATTTTTAGGTTTTCGGACGTTAACCGCTGTTAAATATCTCCGTTAAGTGACACATGTCATGTTTTGATAATTTTGAGATTTTCTTAAAATTTAAAAATAAAAATATTTTTTGTAAAAAAAAAGAAAGAACAACCCCCGATGCAGGCTCTCCCCCTTCCCCTTCCCTCCTTTCAAAAGTCGTCGACCCGCCAGAAGTGACCGTCACTGTCACTATCATCATCACCAACGTCGATCCCCAATCAAACTCCCATTGGCCTTTCGTCGTAATATGCTACCGTTTGCCGTGGAAAAACGTTCAAAAGTTCATTGGATTTTAAGTCATCATCGTCAATTCTGGCCAATTCCGACATCCATAAGTCACACTGTTGCCACCATTTGAACCACCGTGCCATTTCGATCAAAATCCAACTGTTCGGTGACGAAGATGATGGCCGGAGATGACCGACGACCTTTTGAGTTAAGAAATTGAAATTGAGAATTATAGATTTTTATATTGGGGATTTTTAGATTTAGGAATTTTGGGTGACGGTAAGGACGACGATTAATCAATGAGTGGGTGACGACGAATGGATGATCGTTGGACGATGGCGATGGTAGCCAGAGATGGCTAGCAACAGTGGGTAATGGGGTTGAAATGAGATATTTTAATTTTTAAGTTTTTTTTAATTTCATTAAAAAATGGATTTTTTACAAATAAGTTAAACTTTTTTTTAGATTAAAATAATATTTTTATTATTAAGAAATTTTAAAATAATGATAGACACTTAAAAGTATAATTGAAAAAACGTTAAACACATATTTTTAACGAAAAATTATTTAAATACTAAAATATAATTTTTGAGATATAATTCATGCAGTCATTTTTGTATTAAGCCAAATTAAAGCTATTAGTATTAAATAGTAGTTAGAGTTTGGATCCCGAAGTACTTTATCAAAAGCCTTACAAATTATCAGAAGAATTACAGGTTGTTCTCGCAGAATGCAAAACTATCAAAGAAAGAATCGAATCTTATATTAATATACAACTTAAAGAAAAAGGGAAATAAAGAAGAATATAGGTTGTTGTTCTCGCAGAACCAAGGAAGCTCTGTTTGTGTACAAAAAGCCAAAAGCCAATTGCGAATCGATCATTCTTCTTCCGCAACAATTAAGGTGTTTTTCCCTTTCTTTTTTTTGAGAAATTTTTATCTTTCAGTTCTTTTTTGGGGGGGGGATTTTGAAGCCGTTTTATCGCGAGTTTGGGAACGTGGCGGGGCTGATTCGGAGAGCTAATGTGATTGTTTCATTTATTTATTTATTCAATTTGTTTCATGGGCATTCAATTGATTCCGGATGAATGTTGTACTTAATTCAGCTGATTTCTTCCCCTTCTTTTAATTAATTGAGATTTTTTCTGAACCCTCGTTGGATTGTTGTAGTTAGGAATTTGGTTTTCTTTTGGGAGTTGACGACTGATATAGAAAATTTACAATATTTTCTTAGTATTATTCTGATTTTGGTTAACTTATAGGGAGGAAGATGTTTTGACGTATGCATTAAAAGAAAATAATTTACAAAAAAAAAATGCTTATTTCTTGATCAAGATTTCTTTCTGAAACACTTACCTGAGTTGGCACAACATTGGCTCTAATTGGCTTTATTTGTGCAAATTAAGAAAGGGGTACACAATTTTTACAGTTTCTCGGAACTGTAATGGGTGTTTAAGCTGATAATTGCTTATTCTTTTCACTGTTTTTGTTCAAATGTTTATCTTTGCTCTTTGGATGAATGAACCTAGTGATATAATAGGTGCTAACTGCATATGTTATCGGAGAGACTGAAACTAGACCATCTTTATTGTGATAAATTAAGCTGAGAATTTTTTGCTGCTGTTATTTAAGTTTTCGAGTTATCTAATATAACTTCGAATGATACTATTTCAGTTCTCAGTTTTATGGAAAAATGGGAATACCCTTTTACTCCTCTCTTTTCTTATTTAACTTTCCAATTGTACATAATTCTGGTTTTTCTTGTAATATATTTTGTAAAGGGGATTGTATCTATCCCTTCTTTTGCGCTTCCATTCTCTGGAGATGATGTTAAATGCTTATTCTTTTTCAATTTGGTGGATCAGATAATTTTTGGATGACCTTTCTTCAAATAGATCGTTTTACTCTGTTTTTCTGTTCTTACCTCAGGTACAAGGCCCCGATGGCTTTGAGCAGGTTTGTGTAGAAAGTTGATATTTTCAGTGTTGGTTAAAATCTCTAGCCATCAAAGGTAGATTAAATCTTTTTGGCATTAATATTTTAATATATTGCAATCATCAAGATATTAATGGGGGCGTTATTAAGCCTAAATAGTTCTAGGACTGGAATGAGTGAGCCCTTTGATTCACAAAATGAAACATGCAAGAGGCAGAAGTTGTCATCTTGTCTTTGTGAGGAGAACCCTAGATTGATTCCTAGCCTACCTGATGAGATATCCTATCAGATACTTGCCAGAATTCCAAGGATTAATTACTTAAATCTGAGGTTAGTGTCATGGGCCTGGAAGGCTGCCATCATGAGTTCTGAGCTTTTCAATGTAAGGAAAGAAATCGGAACAACAGAGGAATGGCTCTATTTATTGACAAAGAATGGTGGTCATAAGCTTTTGTGGCATGGTTTCGACCCCTTGTCAAGAAGATGGCAGAGGTTACCTCTGATGCCAAATGTTGCTTTTGAAGACGAAACCAGGAAAGGTTTATCTAGCCTTTGGATGTGGAACATAGTGGGGTCGAGCATAAAAATTGCGGATGTCATAAGGGGTTGGCTTGGGAAGAAGGATGCCTTGGACAGAATGCCATTCTGTGGGTGCACCATTGGTGCTGTTGATGGTTGCATCTATGTGTTAGGAGGATTCTCTAAAGCTTCAGCTCTGAGGTGTGTTTGGCAGTATAATCCAGTCCTAAACTCGTGGAGAGAAGTAAGTCCGATGTCAACTGGTAGAGCCTATTGCAAGACTGGTATCTTAAATAATAAGCTCTATGTTGTTGGAGGGGTTACCAGGGGTCGTGGCAGGTTGACTCCACTTCAGTCTGCTGAAGTTTTTGATCCTCAAACTGGTATATGGTCCCAAATACCAAGCATGCCATTTTCAAAAGCTCAGATTCTACCTACTGCCTTTCTGGCGGATCTACTCAAACCCATGGCCACAGGTATGACATCATACAAGGGAAGGCTGTTTGTGCCTCAGAGTTTATATTGCTGGCCCTTTTTTGTAGATGTTGGAGGGGAAGTATTCGATCCTGAAATAGATTCATGGGTTGAAATGCCAGTAGGCATGGGTGAAGGTTGGCCTGCAAAACAGGCAGGAACAAAATTGAGTGTCATTGTGGGTGATGAGTTGTATGCACTTGATCCATCTAGTTCTCTTGAGAGTGCTACCATCAAGGTATATGATCACCAAGATGATGCATGGAAGGTTGTTGTAGGAGAGGTCCCCATTCCTAACTTCACGGATTCAGAGACTCCATATTTGCTTGCCGGTTTAATAGGAAAGCTTCATGTAATTACTAAAGATTCGAACAACAATATCTCAGTCATGCAAACTGATGTGAAAAACCATTTAACTTCCCTGCCTTCAGCTTCACCATCATCATCATCATCATCGGATAACTCCTCTGGTGTTCATGCTGAGCCTGCAGAATCTGCAGCAGCATTCCAAACAAATCCTTGGAGGGTTATTGCCACAAGGACGGTGGGATCTTCGGAAATAGTAAGTTGTCAAGCCCTTAATATTTAGTGCCTTCATAAGGGTACTTAGGAGCCCAAGTTGTGGCATTAACCTTCTGAATATTCAATATGGTATTGTATGCGAGTTGCATTTATTTGTTTTTCCCAGAAATGCTGATTTTAGAAGCAGCACGTTGAAAACTTGTGTGTTTATATTATAACATTTATCCAGTATACTTGTATAATGTAAAGAAATGAATTTCTCCTAAACTGTAAGGCAAGATATATAGCTGAAATTATCTGTGGACCTTGTTTTGTAGATTCCTGAAGTGCTTGTTGTTTTCTAGTCTCATACTTACCATTTATATCTACTCTACTATTTCCCCCCTTCTTTTATTTCTTTTCTCATTCTTTATGTTTGATTTTAAAGTGTACCTTGTTGAGGAGACGTTGCTTGAAAAACGAGCAATCTCTCTCTCTCTCTCTTTGTTTTTTTCTAGTTGGTACTGTGATTCTTATTTTTTTTCATTTTTCATAAGCTTTTAGTTTCATTATATCCAAAAAGTAGAAACCTTGTACATATCAAGGTCTGCTATGAAATCAAGACCAGTAGTCTCCTATGCAGTCCTTAAAACATTGCAGTGTAGCCATCCTTATATAGAATACTACAACAAATCTCTTATAAATGGGTAGTTCCCAGGTGCGGCGGCTTAACCTAATTGCGATGGATTTCAACTTAAAATATTATTTCATCTAACTTAAAAAGCTATACAATTAGTAATAATTTCAGTTACAACCGAAAATATTATATAGTGATGAGTTTTAACATAAAATATTACCTATCAACTTTAGTTAAAACGAGAATATTTTGACGGTAACATTTTAGGTTATAATTAGAACAGTCATATAACTTACATGATTCATTATTAAAGATTTACCTTTTAATTTTTGCGTAATTAATAACATTCTGTAAAACGTATTAACATTTTCTAATCACAACTATACTTGGATATCATCACGCGAAACAGTAATTTAAAATTATAAAACGGAGTATACTAAAAGTAATTTGCCTTATTCGAGCTCTTGGTTTGTGCCAAGAACACACTTGGCGACATTTAAAACATTGGAAAAAAAGTCACTAGCCAACTACGTTAAAGGAAAGATCTTGTCACTTTAAGCAAATAAAATTGCAGAAATAGAGAATAGAAGAACAGCTCCAACAGTAGCACCAATGACGGTATTACCTGCCAGCACAAACTACAAAGTCAGATGAACATAACTATTCTTACTATCCTGGTATCATTAAACTTTTTTGTAATTATATTCGATAGATGGAAACAAATGGATGTATCTTTTCCGGTATCTTTCATGTCTGTTTTACATCCATATTCGTCGGTCATGAAACCCAAGTCCTTTATCGTTGCAGTTGTTGGAGATGTGTCTGTACTTTTTAGATGTGTGCAAATCTAAAGTTTTGTGCTTCGTATAATTATATCAAGCCAAAATTCATAGATCAGATTGGATATTTGATGAAAGTTCTTTGTGAAAGTTTGAGACATATCCCCTAAAAATTATTGATAGAGATGATAAGAATGAAATGGAGATCAAACCAGATGAAGTTGAAGCTGTAGGTGGTGGTGGAGCAGGAGGAGGGACATTGAGTCGATTATTAGTAAAACTGTGAAAAAAAGAGGTGCAACAACTTAGGAGACTGCACGAACACTATTATTAATGAACAAATGGGAACAGGTAGTGGTGGTGAGATAGCATAAGAGACAGACCAGACAGGATTGAATCGTGAAAAGGAACCATTAACCGGAACATCTCCTACAAGCCGATTGTTTGAAAGATCCCTGGTAAAACATCCCAAGCCATTACTTATTGTTCATCAAGCTAAGCTAAAACAACTGATTTGAAAACAAGAAAAAAAATATTCTGATAGCAGCACTCACAGCCCTTGCAGTGTATCAATAGAAGTTAAGGACATAGGAATTTGACCTGTCAACGAGTTGTTGTTGAGACGCCTGTTCCATATACAAAAAGGGAAGAATCAATTACATTGCTTATTGATCTCCAAGCTCCATTAAAGAAAGAAAAATGTGTTCTTACAGGAAACGCAGTTTCCTTAGTTTGCCCAGAGTAGTTGTCAAATTTCCAAGTTCCTCCGGGATTGTCCCAGATATGTTATTATTACACAGCTCCCTGAAAATGTCAAATTCTTATATAATTTAAGAATTTTCTTTGTATTTTCTTTCAATAATCTGTTTTCGTCTCCTAACGTCAAATTCTAGGTCCGTCCCTTATTACTTAGGATATTTGGATGAATGTGCAAAACTTAATCATCATCAACTTACAAGTACTGCAAATTCGAAAGCTGCCCGAGTTCCGGAACAAGCTGACCGGATAGATTTGCATTCCTGAGATCACTGAAGTGACAAAAGGAAAAGCATTCATCACATCAAACTGGCAACTCGGAAGAAACTGAAATGGAAAGAAGATGTACAAGTAAAACTTACACACTGATCACACTATTTTCACTGTTACAAGTAATATTCTGCCATAGGCAAGGGTTGACATGGGTTGGATCCCAGCTTAGAAACACGTTATTAGGGTCAGCCAAATTGGCTCTCAATGCATTCAAAGCATCACCTGTTTAACACCAAGACAAAGCAATCTGTTATTGCTAACCAAAACAAGTCGATTAGGTTGACCACTACTAAACTAAACCAAAACACAAGGAAATAAGGACGAACCTTCAGCATTGCCTGCACCTCTGGAAAACAAATTCAACGCCAGAATCAACCATATGCAAACGGAGATGCGTCTCTCCATCAATCTCACTCCTTTCTTTGTCTTCGATTACTTTGGTCCAAACTAAAGCCAAACAAAGATTAAAAGTGAGTGAGAGGCTCAGAGCGAGGCACTTTCTTTTCTCTTCTTCCATTTTTGGCTTTGTTTTGCCAAGTCAAAGTAAGCTTCAGTGGAGTCTTGATTGAGAGATGTTAGGTATGGCTCATAAATATACCAGTAAAGAGGACAGGAGATGGAGCGGAGTGAGCGAAGCGAACATCAACTGTCCTTACAAAGAAAGTCTTGTTGTGGGGTTACAAATTATGTGGGTTGGGGGTGCGGGGGCGTAGCCCCCGCGGTACGGTACAGGGTTGATTTTGTAATTATGTACCAGGGTTTTCTATTATAAATAGAGATGTAACCTAGACCTAAAATATCATTGAATAAAATTCTAGCGCCGCCTAGGCACCGAGGACGTAAGCACATTGCCGAACCTCGTAAAATTCTCGTGTTATTTCGTTTTCTTTACCCGTTTTCGTCAACAAGAGAGAAAAGTGCAGCTATAACCAAGGGTCAAAAACGCGCGCGTAAAATTTGATTCCTTTGTCGGGGCTCGAGTTCGACTCGACTCGAAAACTCTGAAATAAAATTCTATTCGATTCGAAAACTCACGAGCTTAAAATTTTTATGCTTGACTCGAACTCTAAATCATGAACTGAAACTCGTAAAAAGCTTGAAAAAGGCCCGAAATGAAAAAAAAAATCTTAAATTTAACTCGATTAAAGCTTCAAATTCAAACTCCATGAACCTTAAATACATGAAAATCTCATATTTTATTTAAAAAAAAAATCAACACATAAATGTTCATATTATTAATAATTTTTTTAAAAAAAATAAGATCTTAATATATTATACTTTTGAGCTACTCATGAGCTTTTCGAGTCGAGTACCAAGTAGCTTGTTTCGGCTCGTTAAAAACTCGAGTCGAGTCCATTCGAATCAAGTAATTATTGAGCTTTTAATAGGAATAAAAGAGAGAGACATATAAGGGTAAAAAGAGAAATATAAGTATCGTTATTTGTTGACTTTTCTAATATGACATTTTGAATGAGACAATTTTAAAAATAAAAAGAGACTCATTTAGTGAGATATTTTAGCATATCTCGTATTGATCTTAAAATAGGAATTAAAGAGGTTGAGCATGGAGTTTCCATCTGCTAAAAGTATATTAAAGAAATCTTGAAGAAGATAAGTTTGAAGAATGCAAAGAAGTGTGCACTCCTATGATCCAAAAGGAGAAGTTGTATAAAGAGAATGGAGTTAATAAAGTTGATGAAAGATAATTTAGAAATTGATCGACTGCATAATCAATGTATCTTATGGTAACACATTCTAATAATTTAAATGTTGTAAGTATTTGTCTAGGTTTATGTATTGTGTCAGTGAATTACATCTCAAGACCGTCAAGAGGGTAATTCGATATAACAAAGGTACATATAAGTCTGATGTTATCGAGACTACTTAATCCTATTATTCTGGAAATGAATACATTATACATGTTTACTTGTTCAAATGGTAAAGAAACCGAAATACTCCCATCTTCAAGGTGAAATGCGTCATACATGTTTTCTCCTCTTAAAAAACAACCAACCAAGGAAATGCAACTTCCTTTTCTTTTAAATCCTTCCATTAATGAGCATGAAACACAAACTCCATCTCTGTAACAAATGAATGCAATATTCTTCTCGCATAGCTTCCCCAACCCTCTCCCGTATCTTTCTTGTAAAATCCAACCTGAAAACTTCAAATTGTGAGATTTATCTTGGCCACATTTTCATGGTGCAGCCACGAAAATTCACTCGAATCGCGAAAGTTTACAGCATGATTCGACCATGTAAATCGTATTCTCACTTACTCCAATGGAGGAGGTGGAGGAGGGTAAGCAAACGTTGTCCCCTACCTCTCTTTCCACAAGCTTTACATTTAAAATCGGATCGAAATTTATTTCCGCCAAATTTTCCTACAAATATTGCGCATAAATCTTGCCTCGGAAGCCAGTTAGATTCGTGATTCTACCTTCAACTCTCTGCAGTTCGTTTAGACTGGCCCCGTTAGATTTCACCATTTTCAGTTTCTTGATTCTCACTATCGTCCATGAACTCTCAACTGCCCTACAATAAATAAACTTGCTCAAAGCAAAATTGGTAAAGGCAGACGACACAATTGGGATCATTAGAAGCTGATGAAACTGCATATTCGTCGAATGTTTCAGGCAGTCCAGGTAAGGGAATCTTCTCCATGGTTTGCGGATTAAGCAACAAACAATGCGAACAATCCCGGACAACTTTGAATAACTAACCAAAAGCACATGTTGCCGTTCGCATTCTGCAAACTTCGGGCATCCCAGCAACTTCACGATAACTATCGAACATTTTAAACAACACTTGCTTGCTCTTGTTGAAAGTCAAAAACAAATTTCGGTGCATTAATGCACCGTTTACAAGAGGTTAAAATTCAAGAATTGTTGCAGAGGTAAATATCAAAATTTACGACAGATTTGGTTGAAAAATGGAATAGCGAAAATTATTTATTTAGTCCCTAAACTTTAGATTATTTACAAGATTAGTCCCTCAGCTTCAACTATAAATAGTTTAGCCCTTTGCCATTTAAACCATCCCAAATCATTTTAACTTTCTCCCAATACTAGAGAAATTAGATAGTTTTCTTCTAAGAGTTATTTTTTCCTTTTTATCAAGAGAGAATTGTCATTGTTTTCTCCCTGTTAGATTGAGAGATCTTGTAATTCCTATTTTCTTATAATGAAATTCTTCTACCTTTTCCCTGTGGTTTTTACCCTATATATTTAGGGGTTTTCCATGTAAAATTTGTGTCTCCTTTATGTTCATTGTATTTTCTCAAATTATCAGTTGTGATTTTGCTCTATCTGACGACCGTATTCCGTAACAATTAGCATCAGAGCCTGATTTGAGTGTGTAATATCTACTTATTGTTTTTGTGGTTTCTACCAAAAGGTGGATCATCCATCATAAGAAAGTAAGAAGGTATTACCCATTCTTCGAAGGTTCTAGGGAACTATTCACGATAGTGAAATAGTAGGAGCTATTCGTGATAGAAGTTGTGTCGACGAAATTTGATATTGAAAAGTTCAATAGGAGAAATTTCTCATTGTGGAAATTGAATATGAAGGTTATCCTGAAGAATTATAGTTGTCTAGCGGCTATTAGTGAAAGACCGACAGATTTCAGAGATGACAACAAATGGAACGAGATGGACAAGAAAGCAAGGGCAAACCTTCATATAGCATTAGCAGATGAAGTATGTCAAGCATCGAGGAGAAGAAGATAACCAAGGAGATTTGAGATCATCTCACCAAATTGTATGAGGCCACATTGTTACACAATAAAATTTTCTTTAAGAGGAAATAGTACACTCTTCAAATGTCAGAATCCACTTCAGTGATAGAGCATTAAACACGTTGAACACTTTATTTTCTCAGCTTACATCTTTAAGTTGTACAATAACAAAACAAGAACGTACTGAACTTCTACTTCAAAGTCTACATGATTCGTATGATCAACTCATCATCAACTTGACAAATAGTAATGTCACCAATCTAGTCTACGAAGATGTTGCAGTTGCTGTTCTACAAGAAAAAATTGATGCAAAAACAAAGAAGATAGACAAGTGAATCTACAACAAGCTGCAGAGGTATTGACGATGATGAAAGGAAGATCAATAACACGTGGCCAAAGTCGCAGTCACAACCATGATAGATCAAAGTCAAGAAGCAAGAAGAAATTAAAGTGCTACAATTGTGGAAAGAAGGGTCACTTGAAGAAGGATTGTTGGAGTCTAGCTAAAAGCTCCAATCCACAAGGCAATACAATAAACACTTCTAATGATTGAAATGCTCTATGTTGTGAAGTGTCAACCACCATAAAAGGTAGAAAGAGATTTACATATATATGAATTTTTGATTCGAGAGCAACATATCACATAACCTCAAGAAGAGAATGGTTCCATCATTATGAACTTGTCCCAAAAGGATCTATGTATAGAGTCAATAATCTTGCTTTGGAGATTGTTGGTGATGGAACCATCAAATTGAAGATATATAATGGAACCATTAAAGTTGTTCAAGATATGTAACACATGAAAGACCTGAAGAAAAATTTATTATCCAATGATCAGTTCTAGGTTGAATTATATATCGGTCATTTGTTAGATTGTAGTCTAGAACTATAATCAACAACTAATTTCATCAAAAACACAAGATTTTTCAAAATTTTCAAAAAAATTTGAAATAAAAAAAGTGTTTTGATTTAAATTGTTGTTTTTGATTTAATTATGTTATTTTCATGAAAACTATATGTATTATGATTTTTCAAACATTGTTTTCAAAATAGTTTTCAAAGATTGCCCATTAGGATTATTTTAGAGAACCTTGAATATTGAGGACTCATATTGAGTTTTGGGATTAATTATATTACATACATGTGCTTCAAATTTGCAGGTTACCTTACCCATTCCGATTTTTAACCATGTCTAATCCAAAACGCCCTAGGTTGTCATCTAGTCGTTTAAACCAAAACTGACCTTCTATTCCACCTCCACCTCAAAATCCAAATCCAAATGAACCGGATATGACTATTTTAAACTCTTGTTTTAATGAGCCTGGTCGTAGAAAAGATCTCTACCATAGGTACCATAATTTATTTGAGTCATATAAAATTCGAAAAGAGCGTATCCCCTCAATCCAAGCTATAGTTTATATGAATTTTCAATATCTTCCTACCCTTAAATCCTGGAAATTTGATACTCTTTCACCTCAAACCTATCGTTTATCACCAACTAGTTCGCATTTTCTATTCCAATGTGATTTGTGTCCAAAACGAGTCTCATACTGAAATCATAGGTATTCGGTCTTATCTCTTAGGTCAATTTGTTTACATTGACTCCGAAACTATTGCTTCCACCTTTGGGTTAGATAACGCAGGTTTAGATAATGAAAGAGAAACTGTGGCTACTCCCTATAAAACCAAAGGTAGTGCAAGTACTCTTTTAACTCATCAC